AATTATTCATCTGATTGACTAGGAATATACAATAATAATAATTTGGTTGTTCACATTTTTAGTCAGAATTTATCATTTATTAATAATGTTTTGCTGGAAACATTTACCGGGAAAATTTCCGGTAATTTAATTTAATTCATCATCATCATCATCGACAATTCGATTCAAACATGATATTTATGATGTGAATCTAATCGAATGAATTTTTTTCTTTTCTTCGGAAAAATCAAATCAGAAAGTTTCCAGAAATGATTTTGACAAACAAAAACATAAACAAAATATGTTACAACAATAAAATAAATGCAAAAAGAAGAACCAAAAAAATATTTTATCTCTTTCCATCGACGACGAATTGGGTTGCAAATTGCGTTTTGCCAATGCTGCTGCTGCTGCAATATTCATTTTCATTTTCAAAGAAACGAAAAGAAAAATCATAATAATGTTTTTCGTTTATCGTAAACATACAATATCTAAAACACACAATCAAGCAACAACATCAGTTGTCTTTTTCAATCACCGTTCTTTTTTTCTTCATTTTCAATATCGACCAAAGTTTTCAATATATATTCACAGAGATGAACACAGATGAACATAGCGAAAAGAAAACTTGCAAAGAATAAATAAATATCGGTAAAGGAACTGACTGACTGATTTCATAATATCAAATTTATAGTGAAGCAAACGAAAGAAGAAGAAGAAGAAAATTCATTCAATTTATATGTTTTCAGTATTTTTTCCAATGTTGTTGTTTTCAGTTGTTTGTTTGTGTGATATGGCATAAATTTGATATTTTTTTCTGTGCATCTCGTTTACTTGCTTTACTCGGCTTGACTATTGCATAATATAATGATGATGATGATAATAATAATGTCAACGTTATTCATTTCTTTCTTTTTTTGGTTCGGTTCAGTTTGGTTTGGTTTGGTTCCATGAATTCTATTGAATTTGGATTTTTCGTTTTTCTTTTTTGTTTGTCGAATTTATTCTTGCAACTATCATATATACAGCACAGTTAATTTTATCATCTCGTTTCTGTTGGTTGCTGCTGGTTGGTGGCTATGAATAATTTTACATTCATTTCACCATTCTCTATGTGAAAATGTTGTTGGTTATGAGAAGAAAAAAGCTCAATGCTTCATCATCGTCTTACCATATTATTATCATTCCTTTAGTTTTTCTTCTCTGGATTTTGGTTGTTGTTGTCCAGTCCAATAGTATTGTCATTTTTTTTTGTCCGAGAAAATTCAAATTCACTTTCCATAAGGGTCATTAGTTATTATTTCGTTTGTTTGTTCGTCTCTCTCTCTCTCTATATGATGATGATGATTATATGATTATCATAATGTATATATGATGTGTGTGTGTGTGT